AGAAGTCAAGAAGAGCCAGGATGGGTGCACCACCCTAATCCTGCTCTCACCAGAGGTCATCCAAGGGTGTGATCAGTGCCGTTTTGGTCCCAAACCCCAGCCTAAACCCCAACTGAAAGGGTCTAGATAATCTGTTTCTTCCAGAGTCTAATGTAGCTGCAGTGTGACCACCTGTTCCACAACCTTCCCTAAAAAGGGAAGATTGGAGACTGAAAATTGTCCAGAATGGTGGGGTCTAGCATCTCCTTAAGAGGCAGCAGGACACCCCCCCCCCAGTACCCAACCACATGTCCCTTCCCGGATGGCCTTAACCAGCCAGGAGGAACATGATCTAAGGCCCAGCAGTATTAAACTCTCCCCAGATAACTGAGGCAGACCTGGCCCTAGTATCCTATATAGGACCTGCATCAACGCCGGAGTCCAATTTAAAGTGAATCCAATCAACTTTATCCATCAGATGCCTAGCATATTCCTCACAACAACCCTGTAGGTGAGTCCCAAAACCACTCCCATCCAGGAAGGACTGGGTCACCTGTAACGGCCACTGGATGACTATCCATGGATGCAATAAGGGTGGATAAATACAAATGTTTTGCTGCTATTACCACCACAAGGTAGGCTCTAATACCGCTTCATCTCCCTTAGCTCCTCCATAAACCAGGGACAGTTCTGGAATCCCCAGGGAAGGAGAGGTCACTCAGGCGCAATCCAATCCAAAGCCCCAACCACCCTCTCATCTCAGGCAGCGACCAGGGCTTTGGTTGGACTTTCCAGAACAACCCCAAATCTTCTGGAACCCAATTGGATCCATTAGTTATCTGTTCCCCAAGAGCAGCCTGCCCCTGTCTCGTCATATCTCCCCCTTCCCGTCAATACCATGATGTTATAACCCACCTCCTACCTCCAGAGACTTCTCTCCTTTTCCTGTCCTGGCCCATGCCTAAAGACCCCACACCATATCCACACAATGCACACTCCCCTCGTAGAGGCCAGCTGAATCCCAGAGATCCTTCTGCCCAAGCCACTCAGTGACTCCAGTTGACAAGGGCCTCCATCCACACATCTAACTTCTGGCAACCCCAACTAGTCTCCTAGTCTAGTCACCCACCCGTCAACCATCTAGATGGTGAATTCAAAGCCCCCCCCCCCAGCTCTCACCCATAGGAAGGCAGGCACTCCCCACATTCAGGGGGAATTGCCCTCCACCATCCACAACCCTCTTCCCAATCACACATCCAAAGTCCAGCAGGTAGACTCCAGCTGGGTTGCGATGTCAACAAAGCAAGCCACCCTAAGATGGCTGCTACAAAGTCTCTCTTAATCCTGGACCAAATAGGCAAGACGTCCACCAAACTTGAGTAAGAGAGTAAAGGCTGCAGCCACAGAGCCAGGCTGACACCAACGCCTCAGCTCATCCCCACTCCAGTGCCTCCATTCCAGTGAAGGAGCTGGCACCATCAAATCATCTATGGCATTGCTTTCATCAGTGCCTCCCTTGCCACCACCAGAATTGCAGCACTCTCTTCTTTCCCACAAGCCAGCAGAGGGCCTCTCGCATCAGTGCTGGCATCACCGGCCTCCTTCTGCCGCCACCATGCCAAACGCAGATCAGTGCAAAACCCATGTGACAGCTGATCAGCACACCTGGCAGCCCAGCTGCCGCCGCCACCAATCTCAGACAATCCTTCACTCAGCAGCACAGAACAAAAGGTAGGCCCCAGGCATGGTTCTGTCCCGTGCCACCACCAGTTCTGGCAGGGGATACAAGCCAAGCAGGCCTGATATCAAGCAGTGCCAGCCATATCCTAGTCCAGTAGGGGGATGACCCAGGAGAACCCCTCAAACTTCCAGTTCGCACATCCTCTCCCCTGGTCATCCACAGTATTCTAAAATCTACACACAATTGGTGTCCACTCCACAAACTCAACCAGCCTTGGCACCATGATAGGAAAAAAAAGCCTCTCTGACATCTTGAGATAATCCCAGTCTGAAAATTGCACATAAATCTTCATTTTCTTCAAGTTGAAATAGAAATTGTAATTCCCCATATTAACAAATCAGTCAAAAAGAATATTATTCTTTTGATATTAAGGTGAAATTAATTAAATACTTTTTTTTCATATTTGTTGGACACAGATAATGCTTGAAAATTATTGGCTCGCATGTTTCAAGTGTAAAATGACAGAGGGACTATTTAGGCATATGAAATGCAGCTGTTATACTTATCCCATTTCAGTTTAATATCATACATTTATTAATATGGACTAAATATGTGAATATGTTTCTGATTTATATACCCCAAATCTGGAATTTATCACTATATGAAGAATAATGGATTATAATGGATATAGGACATAGCAAAAAAGGTTGATCTTTACAGTGGAAAGACAATGCCATTTTACAATCTTGCAACAAGAGAATGTTCTTGGATGTTGTGAGAGCAATGGCACAATAATAATGAGAGTGTTCTCATAAAAAAAAAAAGTTTTCAAACAAAAAAGACAATAAGATCCATATCACTGACAAGTAATGATGCTGTGCAATGCCTGTTGAAACAAACATCAAGTTCTTAAAAATGCATGCATCACTGTGTGGACAAGAAAAGGGAATCCATGGAAAGCAAAGAGTCTTCTTGAACACAGCATGAACATCACATATCCAAAGACATAGATGGCTCTTCAAGAAGATTCTAGAGGTGGCAAACCATAATGAAATAGTGGTCATGTGCATTAAACACATGTGCATGTGTATTTTTCTCAGTTGATCTTGCAGTGTAGACTTGATCACTCTTGCTCTGTAAAATAAACTAAGTTAAAATTGCACCTAATGGCATGTTTCAATTCATCCACCCTGCAGCGGTGTGTAAAGTTCTGGCACTTCATGTTTTGCCTGTGTTCAACCACTCTGTGTAAGCTGCACTGGCTTCCATTTGCTTTCTAGGTACAATTCAAGGTGCTGGTTATCACCCTTAAACCCTAAATGGCATGGGGCCAAGTTATCTGGAAGATACTTCTCCCTGAGGATATCCACCTGTCCTACCAGCTTAGACAGAGTGGGTGTGCTCCAGGTCCCTTTCCTTGAATGTTGCCATCTAGTGGGACTTAGAAGAAGCATCTCTGTGGCTGTCCCAACCTTTTGGAACAGTCTCTCCGCTGAGATTTAGAAGATCTCTACCCTCTTAGCCTTTTGGAGGGCTTTGAAGACCTGGCTCTTCACCCAGGCTTTGGACTAGGGTAGTAGCCTAGCAAATGCAAGAGTATGTAGAATTTATAGGAAGTTGCGGTGCTGTGGTTGGGATATATAGTACTGTCATGGGGTTTGTTAGGTTTTATTTATTTTGTTTTTGTTGAATATTGTGAACTGCCTAGATCCCAGATAACCCACCACATAAGTTTCTAAATAAATAAATAAACAATAAATAAATAAATAAATAAATGTTGGTGTGCCAAATAAGTGAACAATGATAGAGTGAAATTTTTGTGACTTAAGAAAAAGAATGATGTAGAAAACTACCTGCAATTGACAGCTAACTTGATCAACAAATAAGAAATCTGAAAACTTGAAAAATTCACTTCTATGTACAAGACTTAATGAATTGAGAGGAGCTGTGCAGCCTCAAAGCTTTTCATGACTTCTGCTGAGAAAGACTGGCTAGAATGAACCATACCATGAGTTGCAGGAAGGTAGATGCCATCAGTTCTGTGAAAAGAACAGCTTGAGTTAAATCTTATTGACAAGATGAAACAAAGTGGAGAAACCTATTTAATGTACTCGTCGTAAAAACTGATCACAAAACAAATTAGTTACTTTAGTTGATGAATTTATGCCATATTAAATACTGTTATGAATTAAGAGGAAACCATTTAAACATTCCTAAAGGTTTAGGAAGATTCAGTGGAATGAAAATAGAAAATCTGTATTTAAAGCAAATAATTATTTTATTCATGTATTTTCAAATCATTAAAATGTTTATAGCCCTCTGAGTAAATCTTAGGGTAGGATTCAGAGGTAAATCAGTAAATATTAATAATTCTGCTCATAAATATTTTCAGATATGAAATATGTTTCTTCTTGGAATTGCAGAGCAGCTGATTAACTGTCCAAGAAGAATCAGATTTAAAGCATTTGTTTTTTCTGTGTGATAAGTTATCAGTGCTATTGCAGTAGATTGCATCAGATACATGCCTTACTTTAGCATCTTTAACAGAATATCTGAATTTGTATGATGAACACAGACTCTCCCAAATGGAAGTAGCTGTTACTTCGTGATAGCAAATTCATTGGAATGAAGTTAAAAAATTAGAAATAGCAGTGATATTCAGGTTGCTGCAGAATTTCATGTACACCTTTTTAAATACATACTAGGAATTAGCTCAAATGATGGGACGTGAATATTTTACTTCCTTTAGAATATTCTATCCTGTAACAAAATTGTATCTTCTCCAAAATAAAGTGTAAGAGAAATACAGTAACATGTCCCACAATTATTTGACAGCTGCTATTTGAATTTTGTTTCTTAGAAGAGTTAAGGAGTGTACCAGCTATTGTCATCTGTAGGACAGTTTTACTGGTTCTAAAAAGCCATCTAGTCCAGGTTTCCATCTGTAGAGGTTGTTGGCCAGATGCCCTTTGGAAGCTTGTAATTAGGGCATGAAGAACAATGGCCATTATTTGTTGCCAATATTCAGAGCTATATTGCCTCTGCACACGGACATGCCAATTAGCTGCCTTTGTGGCTAATTGGAACTGAGATATTTTATTTTCCATGCATTTTTAAACTAACAAAACAAGTGGCCATGACAACATCTTGCAGTGGCAAGTTACAAATTGTTTGAAATTGCACTAACTTTTGTTTGAACCTGACTGTCAATGCTTGTACAAATTGGCTGAGTCATATATCTTTGTTGTGAATATGTGAAAATTACATTTTATGATTCAAAATGTAGATACTTTAAAATAATTCACATTTTCAAATCTAAAGCATTCCTATTGAATTTCAGATTGCTTTGATATCCTGGAGAATTGACAGAAAATGCAAAACAGTGAAGTAATAAAGCCTGCCAAATACTTCTCTGAAGTGGAGAAGAGTGTGCTACTGGCATTAGTTGAGAAATATAAGTATGTACTTGAGTGTAAAAAAAGTGATGCAAGGACTATTGCACTGAAACAACGGACCTGGCAGGCCCTTGCTCATGAATATAATTCCCAACCAAATGTATCACTCCGAGACTTCAAGCAGTTGAAGAAATGCTGGGAGAACATCAAGGCTCGGACAAAGAAAATAATGGCCCATGAAAGACGAGATAAGGTAAAAAGATGTATTAGTCCACTTATAAGTAATCACATCCTAGGAAAAGAGAAGATCACCAACATGATACCAGAGCAAGTATACTTTTTACAGACTCCACCGGAAGAAGATTCTGAATATCAGCCTGAAGCTTCCAGCCAAGGTACAGTTGTAATCTAGTGACCTACATTAAACAGTTTCTTCCTATTTCAGAAGTAGATAGAGTATTTGCACTGCATTTATCCAACAATATCTCTGTAATGGCATCAGTTTCAACATGTAAGCAGATGCGCATATTTTACTTCACTGTACAATTAGTGAGACATAACTCACTATTCATAGCTCCAGGTAACAGCAAAACCAGTCCTGAACTGTCTCTTAGCTGTAACAGAACCATTTTTTTTTAATCTTAAAGCAGGTGGTTGTTTTTTAAAACAGGAGAGGGAAAATCTTTGAGAATGGAGTCCTTCCTAAACATAGGGACAGGAATTCTGAAGACTACAGGAGGTAGAGTGCAACCTTTTCATTGTTACGGCTGGTCTCATAGCATACACATAGGTGAGACCAGGGTTACTGAGTTTTCCTGATGGGGGGGGGAAATTTGGGGTTTCGATTTATATTTTAACTATATTAAGCTTTTTTAGGGTTTATACTGCATTTCTGGCAAGTCTGTAGGAATTCTGTAGCTCTGGCCTCTCAAGTTAGCCCCCTGTATTTTAAAAGGAGAAATTTAAAAAATTTAACTTGCCTTTTGATGCAATACATTTATTCCCAATTGGTTAGATTTTTTAATTATTAATAATAAACTTCAATACAATGGGTACTATTTTAAATATGTGTATATACAAGTTTGTATAATGTTTTAGTAGTGTTTTGTTTTATTAAGGTTATACAAAATAACCTTATTTTATCCAATTACAAATACTGCAATTGGAATCTTTATAAAAGTAAAACTTAGTCTTTTTCTTCCAATAAGTTGTAATGAATATCACATTGATCGTTTAATGTACAGTGCATTCGGAAAGTATTCAGACCCCCTTTACCTTTTTCAATTTTGTTATGTTGCAGCCTGATACTACAATTGTTCAAATTCATTTTTTTC